CCCCAAAACCCCAAAACCCCGAATATATTGCATAAATCAATTTGGCAAGATAGTTCCAGCAAATAATAAAATCTAATTAAATCATTCTATTTTCTATTACTTGAGTTTAGCCTTAATGAATTTTTCTTGAGGATTCGGATGAATATCAAGAATATTAAGTTCCTCAACTATATCGAACTCAACCTTAAACATATCTATAAATCTCTGTGTCAACTCTGGTAATCTTATTTTGTAGCTCATAAATATCATTGGTGGGTTTTAAGCATCTTTAAAACTTGATAATAACTTTAGAGTCTTTACTAAATCTTCAAAGGTTTCCTATTAATTGTGTGAAGTGAGAATTTATAGTCTTACCTCTAAATAAATAAGATCTGCACAGATAATGTAATCTAGTTACCCTTCGAGCAAATTCTAGGCAATTTAAAGGTGCTCCTCATTACCCCTGTATTAATTAAAAAATTGAAGAAGCGTACCAGTAAAGCTCTAAAGCTTAGATTGATCCATTAAGATTTTAATTTAGTTCTAAGCATTTTTAAGTTAATGCGATTACTTTCTTCAGATCACTAGCTATGACTTTATGCCCATAGGCTGCTATTAATAAACTTGGAAGTGCAGTTGCTGCTCCTAACTCAATAACTAGTAATACTTAATTAAACTTATTGATACAGGACAACTTAGTAGACTCTTCGGAGTGTTGTTAGATTATGTCTCTCTCTATTACTCTTGCCATCACATAACTCTGAGTAAATATTAAGCATACTTAAAATATTTACAGCATCCCAGCAAATACCACCCTTGCCTAGCATAAAGTCCTAAGCAACGAAAAGCGATTACTTATTTCCATCCTTATGAGTAACGATATCAGGAAATTTGAGAATCTTGTGATTTGCAAATCTATAATCATCTAAAATCTCGTCCTCTTTGAACTCTAGCTTATATTCTCCGTAGTTTTAAATTGATTCTACCATGTTTTTGTTTTAATTTAATAAATAATACTAAATTTTCTAGATTTGTCAATTATCAAAATAAAAGAGTTTCGGGGTTTTGGGGTTTTGGGG